TATTGCATCCATTATGTACTTAAAATTAGAACATTATGGGCCCTGTAGAGCACGGCAATTAGGAGAGAGGAGGACCACCCTAGATCAACCGAAAGATGTCAGAAGTTAGAGCCTAGTAATTTATCATTGAGATACGAGTTTTTTTAGTTTTCCCGGAAAGTATTCAAACTTTTCTCGCCGTAAAAAACATCCTTGGACGTCAACGAACATTTAAAAAAACAATTGGTGAAATTGATCCAGGCATTGTTGAGTTATGCGCTTACCAAGACATTTTGCGATTCATTTTTATATTACACCTACCTACATTTGATATGGTCTTATAGGCATTAATCTACCTTCACTTCTCTCATCAAATGATTTCTCCAACGTCTTATACTGCTATTAATTAGAAAGTTTATCAAGTTGATTGTCTGTCACAGGGACAGGATAATAGAGGACTAATTACGCATTTAATATTAATTAATTATTTACATTCTAAATATCAACATCATTCAATTGAGGCGCTTTTTGAAAGCTGTCAAAAAGAAGTTTCTCTATAAGTAGAGTTACACAAGCTGCATTGTAGAGAACTATAAACTTTGTCAATTTAGAGGTTTTTGGGTTTAATTTCAAGATAATTTAGTTAAATCTACTTAAAATTTTTTAAATACTGTTTGTAATGTAAGAAAGTTTAGATCCCTAGGATTACTTAACAAGTTTTTGGCATTTTAATTAAAATCTTTCAAAGTTTCAATCCTTTTTCGCTCTACTCATATCAAATAAACTAATAGATTATAAATCCTAATTATAATACATTGCCAGACGATTTTAAATAAATAGTCCAGTCATTTGGCAGTTATAACTTCAAAGTTTTCCGGGAGTTCTGCAAATTGGTAATTTAACCTCATTATTTAAAACCTACTGGACTGGTCTAGAATTGGCCCCATAGAGTGCGTGGATTTTACCTGCCTAGCTCGCACTTATTGCGTGTCATGTAAGCTACACTATATTGGATTGATGAAAAAGAGGCTGACAAAAGTGACTGAGTATCTTCCGCCACTTCTTCTCAGCACCAGTCCATATGTTGTCTCGAATTGGTGGTAGGGCAAGCCATATTTGGGACGTGTGAAAGGCCCTATGTACTGAATAAACTGTTTGAATTTGAATTTGAATTTTCCAAAATCCATCCCCTAAAGGGATGAAACGGGGATCCAAAGCTTTCAAGCAAAACCACGTGCAGAAGCTAGTTTAACGAATCTGTCGTATCTCTCCAATCTCGCGTTCACTAATCAACACACTGTTAATTCCCCCGTTAAGTTAACGACAAGCCCCCAGGCGATGCCGAAGTAAAATGTCAAATTATGGCGACAGATGTCAAATTTAGCATAGATAGCAATCTTGAAGGTAATTTAATGAACCTAATATGTTAAGAACGAGAGGGCAGTCTGCGATTATGAAGGATTTAGGAATCCTACTAATAATAAAAATGTAGAAGTTTGTCTTTCCTTCTATCAACAATACATTGTCGACATTCCACCAGCTCGCACTAAGCGTTTTGATAACTCTTTTATAATGCGAACAGCTAGAGGAATTCGCTGCCTGCTGCTGTCTTTCCCGAAGACTATAATCCGGGCCTTTTCAAGGCGAGAGTGAATAGCACTTACAGGGCAGATATGTACCATCCTAGACAGCATCTCACTTAACATCAGCGATTGCGGTCAAATACCTGCCTTGTTCTTCATAAAAATAGCCCCTTTTCAGGGCAATTATACATACATGTCCCGAATATAATAGCTTCCCTTCACTTTTGGGACAACATATTATGAGCTGGAGCTGAGAAGTGGCGGAAGAATCCCACGCCCGTATTCACAAACGATTCTTGCTTAAGTGAAGCAGCAAATCGAACGCACAGCGCTGAATAGAACTCTGTGATTGGTTCGTGTGTGACCCTGTGTGCCACGCGCACCGTGAGACCTCATAGTAATGTTTGTGAATACGGGCGTCAGTCACCTTTTTCAGCCTTATAATTATTTCAGGAAATACCACTTACAAGATAAGTTTTATAAGTTCACACTTATTTATCTTGTAGAGTCCATATCAACTGTCATATTATTTATTTATTTCTTTAATCACCAACAAGGTTACATTGTAGCGTTCACAAGAAAAACTTTATTTCAATTATTATGCTTTAAGGACTTTTAGCAGGATTGTTTCCAGTCACCCTTTGGTAGTTTTTCAGTAATAGTTAAGAGAACGAGCTTTCTAGAAAGTAATCAAAACAAATGAAGATGAGAGATCTAATAATCCTCGCAGTAAATCCATCACAAAATAACAATTATTATTATAAACGTCAGAGCTGTACGATCAAAAAATAAGTTATAATAATCTCACGACATAAACAAAATACACCCCAAAATTATTGCCCGATTAATACATTTGTAATCTCCCGTCTCGCTCGCACTCGCCCAATTAATACATCCATCCCTTTCCACGGTCATTTCGAAAATGGAACACCGCATGAGGTTTGAAATTAGTACCGCTTTTTCATCTCCCACCGAGTCCGATTTGAATTTGGAATCTTTTTTTCTCGGCTCCGTTGAAAGGGGCGGCCATGTTGGTTCTTTTTTTTAATTATCAGTGTTTTCGGCCAGAGATACTTAGGCGGTATTTTTTCGTCGACGAATTTGTATTTTTTCGGAGATGTCATTTTGGTAAATAGTGCTTTGAGGCCGATGCGACGGGCACAGGATGTTTTCAATTTTTTGAGCACACAAACTTTCTTGAAAACCTTCTGTATTATTAAAACAATGTTATAAGTATTAACAGAGTATAGTATTGTATGCTTACTTTTGATTATAATAAGCATATTTTCGTCACACAATGATTATTTATTATATTGAAGTTGATAATGTAGAGGCGATTCGCGTTAGCTTTGAAAAAAGCCCACTTTTCTTATAATTATGATGTTTTACAAAATTTACCTACTATAAAATATTGTACCAGTATCTCTGATACAAAGGACTACAATTCAAAACCACCAAAATAATAATAATTCATCTTTCTTCCATATAGCTACATAATTATTTCTTCATTTCAAGACTCTTGAGTCCAGTTTTGATAAAGATATTATTATACAATACATAACTATAATTCAAGTTCACAAGCTTGGTCGAACCGGTTTCAAAACATAGATTTCTCTCCAACACTGACAATATTGTTATTTTAGTTTTTATATCTTTACTAGCTTTCCGCCCGCGGCTTCACTCGCGTGGATTTTTTTCTGTCGCAAGAAAACTTAATCGCGCGCGTCCCTGTTTCAAAAACCGGGATAAAAACTATCCTATGTCCTTTCCCGGGACTCAAACTATCTCTATGCCAAATTTCATCAAAATCGGTTCAGTGGTTTAGGCGTGAAAGCAAGACAGACAGACAGACAGAGTTACTTTCGCATTTATAATATTAGTATAGATGGGACGCAGTAGTCAAGTATAAGTTTGCATTTTGCTCTCAATCTGTAGATCCTGGCTACACAGGAGTTGCAGTGGTGGAAACGAGAGGTGGGAATAGTTCCGTAGTCAATTATATAATCTTTTTTATGCATAACAGGGCAGGTATTTGACCAAAATCGCACCTGGTGTTAAGTGGGATGCAGTCTAGGATGGTACATATCTGCCCTGTAAGTGCCTATTCACTCTCGCCTTGAAAAGGCCCGGATTATAGTCTTCGGGAAAGACAGCAGCAGGCAGCGAATTCCAGTCCCTAGCTGTTCGCATTATAAAAGAGTCATCGAAACGCTTAGTGCGAGCTGAGGGCTTAGTGTGAGTTTAGGTACATCAATCGTCGTCACTAGTAAGCGCGTAAAAAAATGACATTGAATGTATTACAGATTGTACAGCGCCCCTAGCGGAAACTTTCAAGATTTACAATTTTTTTTACGCTCTTACTAGTGGGCGTTTGATTTAAACTCACATTATCCCTCTGGCGGTGGTGGTGGTCTAATCTTTTTGGATCACGCTGTATATACCTGACAGTAATTTGTTTGAGTTTCGTGATTATAACTCGGTGTCGGCCGGCAGATGGCGTCTGTTTTTTGCGTTTTCCGACATTTTGTATCGAATCCAATATTAATCGCTAAACTTCCATGTTTTTTCTAATTTATTCGCTTCCCGTAAATATATTTTGTTTTTGTTTCTTTTAATTGGTTTCCCGATTGATTTATCTGATTTTGAAGATTACACTGTTTTTAGTTGTGTGTTTTAAGAAATTAATGGAGGTCGAAAATGGAGGTTGCTTCCCGTTGTGTTAGAAACTGGCTTCTGCCTGCGACTACGGCTGCGTTTTAGTTTGTCATTTTGTATAACTTAAGTGCCTCTTAAAAACATCTTCCTAGAATTTCCATATTTTTACAGAAAAATAATGTACAAACTTTCATCTTAAGTGTTTTGTGACAAAAAGTAGCATAGCATTCTCCCAGCTCCAAACTAAGTGTATCTATATCTATGCAAAAAATCTTAAAATTATTGTAGAGCGTTGTTTCAATGCAGAAACGTAACAAACATTCTTTTTTTGCTGTTACGATATTGGTATTACATTCCCTATAATATTATTTTTCGTATTTCTTTTAACTGAAAGTTTTTTATAGTCTGCAATAAAGAGGAGGTATATAATTTTTTATTTCTTGTCTTTCTGTCAGTTGTGTATAGTAGTCTGCAGGTGTTTTTTTATCTACCTCCTCTATAACACCATAGAATTGAGGGCACCATCAGCATAAGGCGGCCAACCGTCCCGCATTCTGCGGGACCGTCCCGTAATGACAGTTGCAATCCCGCATTGCAATATTTAATAAAATAGTCCCGCAAATCGTCCGAGGCGTCCCGTATGTCCCGCATTCCTCGTTTCCCATCGTTTTGCTCGCATAATTATGTCTCATTGATTTTATGTCACGATCATAGAGAAAAGTAATACATAGGTCATGATACTAACATAGCATAAAATACGTAGCCTTATGCACAGATTAAATACTACCTTAGTGCCAAAGTCGCCTNCTGCGCTAGTTCCTGGATGAGGTGGCGCCGTTTCACGTGGGGCGGTTGATATCTGAAAGTGGTAAGGTAAAATAAGCCTCATGATAAGACCACAGTCTCGGGTTCGATTCTCAGTGGGATTTGGGGAGAAGATTGAGGATTCCAGATGGAGATTGCTTCCATCTTCAGCCTGATCAATAAGTCAGGCAGTAATCTCGGCGCCAACTGGGCGCCAATTGCCAGTATTCCCAGTTGAGGATACCGTTGGGCTACAAGCCCGGTTTGACATATCTCTAGTACACTTACAAATCAGTCTGCAGCCTAGCTCGTCTCGCCCTGTCCAACGCCGCTCTCCTAAGACAGTCGGGCAGTAAACTAGGCGCCAACTGGGCGCCATCTGCTAATACTCCAGCGGAAGAAGCAGGCGGCGGTACACGGACGAGTAGCAATCCGCTGCGACGAGGCGACACACACATAACGTAGGCCTCGTGGCGCCGCCACGGGAGACCAGTCTCACAGTAACGGAGAAGGTCATCTGTGGAAGATCGAAAGGGAAAACAGGGAAATTTGTAAATGCGAAAAATTTGTTTTTTTTTTGTTTTTTATGGTTGAACTGCGGAACCAATTATGCTAAAGAAAAGTTGTAATATGTGCGAACGTACCTATTGGTAGATTGAGATGGTCTTCAAAGTCGTCCAACCAAATGATGAGGATCTTTGGTGTGAAGTCTCTATTACGTCGTCCGCTGCCTATAAAAGAAAAAACTACATTACAAGACAGAAAAAAAGTATTTTTGGCCGAATATTCTGAACACATTCCAGCAGCAATGTCTGTGTTCATACAGGGTGACCAGTAATGGGATGCAAAAGCAATGATTTCTGATCACAAGTTGTAGTAAGTATTGCAAAATCGATTGGAAATGAGTTCTATTGTAACGTCTTTCAAGAAATGTATCGACCAGTTACCCAACTGTATACCTAGCTGTCTCAAAAAAAGGGTCAAATCCTTTACCCGTGAGTGCCGCAGGCTGCTTGTCCAAGTCAAGCGACAGCGCGCGCGCCTTGTCCAAGGGCGCGGACGCCTTGTCCGACTCGGACACGGAACGCTCGTACGACGGCGCGCCTGAGCCGGACACGTCCCAGCACGAGCCCGCCGCCTTGTCCGAGCTTCTGCTGACCGAACGAAATGGTTGTAAAGGGGAGTCACGTTGCATACGTCTGTAATAGCTGTTTGTAGGTCATCAATCAAGTTTTCATAATTTACAGCGCTGATCGCACATAAATGGACAATTTGACACCATTCTCGAATAATTCGAAATCACAACTTTTCTAAAAAGACACTTCATTCTGGTCTTAAAAACTTAATTAATTTTAAATTACCTGTAAATTACGATTTTTGGCCGCATTGTAATTGAAAAAAGTAGTTTATTTGAGTTGACAAAATAGTGACGTCACTTGCTTATAGTGCCATAAAAATCTAGGGGAGAGTTTCGTTTTGCCAGTTTTAAAAAGTACGTCAATTGATTGGTGGTGTCAACATGTCTATTATGTTCGCTATTGACCCTCGTAAGGGCATTATGCGACCTAATTCCCTTGATAAGGGCCCCTTGTTATTACGTAAATAAGTAATCTAATAAATAAATCAGCTCATTCAATCAAAATCACATTTCAGTTGAAGAATACAAAGTATGAGAATTTTTTTCTGGAACAAATCTTGAAATAAGTAAATAATGTCCATTTTCACTATCAATCTCTAATTTTTAAGTAATCCCTATTAAAACAAAATTGCTGTTAGGTGTTACCATAGGGGTCACTTAAAAATTAGCTATTGATGGTAAAAATGTGCATAAGACTACTAAATAAGTTGACGCAAAAGGGCCTAATAAATATCAGTGATACCTGGTAGATTGGCAGCCGCCGTCGGTATCACTTTTCTCTTCATCTAGCTCGTGCCCTGAAGGCACCACAAACGCTATCTCGTTCGTGGAGTCTGCCCAGTATATAACCTGAAAAACAATATCAAAATGTAAATTGACACAACACGCTTGCAACGAGCAAGCGTGTTGGTGTGAGCGAGATACAAGTCTGTATGAGTTCATTAAGATCGATGATCAATGCTCTACAATTTTGGATTGTGGATTGCAGGGCGAGAGGTATTGCTGTGTTGTTGAGATGTTGACACAGCAGTACTTGCCACTTACTTACGCGCTGGATGCAGGCCGCTACCAACTGTGCGATGTGGAAGTCATTGGGGGAGGCCTGTGACGTTCTGTGACTGAAATATGAATGATGATGAGGTAGAACTTTAGGTGACAGGAGGGATGCTGTTGACCTTCGACACAATGTACCTGCTCTCTCACATCGTAGACGGCAGGGGCAGGCGCACGGCGCGGACCTATTGGCGGAGGGCGCGGGATGGTAGCAGAAGGTGTTTAGGAGCGTTGCTCGGGCGCAAGAGGCTATTGATGATACTGGTGTTGACTCAGCACGTACCTGTTCCCTCGCGTCGTAGACAGCAGGCGCGGGCGCATCGTAGCTCGCGCTCTGTACACCGCTATTTACGTAAAGAAAACGTAGGTAGTTTTTTTGCAAGATTCCATTCGTGTGCTGAGTGCGAGGCAGCAGATGCTGTTGATACACGTACCTCACTGCCATCGTCATCATTTCAGTCACAGGACGTCCACTACTGAACATAAGTCTCCCCAATGACTTCCACATCCCACGGTTGGTAGCGTAGCCTGCATCCAGCGTCTTTCTGCTACCTTTATCAGGTCGTCGGTCCACCTTGTAGGTCGTCCCACGCTGTTTTCCGATACACACGGTACGGTGCTACACTTACCTGTTCCTTCGCGTCGTAGACGGCAGGCGCGGACGCGCGGCGCGGTGTGGATGCTGTTGACACACGTACTTGTTCACGCGCATCTATTCAATTCGTATGCTGCGAGGTAGAACCTTATGTGGTAATAGAGATGCTAGTGACCTTTGACAAATGTACCTGCTCCCGCGCATCGTAGACGGCGGGTGCGCGGCGCGGATCTATTGGTGGAGGGCGTGGGATAGTGGCAGAAGGTGGTTAGGATCGTTTTTCGGGCGCAAGAAGCTATTGATGAAGCTAGTGTTGACTCAGCATTTACCTGCTCCCTCGCGTCATAGACAGCGGGGGCGGGGGCGCGGTTCTATTGGCGGAAGGCGCGGGATGGTGGCAGGTGTTTAGGAGCGCTGCTCGAGTACAAGAGGCTACTGATGATGACTAAGCATTTACCTGCTTCCTCGCGTCGTAGACAGCGGGGGCGGGGGCGCGGCGGGGTTGGTGCTGGCGCGCCCCGACCAGCCGCCGTGCATTGCTACTGACGCGATGACGTAAAATAGGTATATCCACTTTCTCGCAAGATTCCATTCTTATGCTGAGAGGCAGACGGCACAAAGAGTGGCAGAAGGGATGCTGTTGACCTTTGACACACGTACGTAAAGTTCTGGAGTGGAGGCCACGTAGCTTTCAATCCAGCGAGGAATGTCCACTCATAAGGTGGACCGACGACCTGATAAAGGTAGCAGGTAGGCGTTGGATGCAGGATACTGCCAACTGTGCGTTGTGAAAGTCATTAGGGGAGACCTATGTCCAGCAGTGGACGTCCTGTGGTTGAAATGATGATGACACTTATCTGCTCTCTCGCGTCGCAGACGGCGGACGATAGACGGCAGAGGCAGGCGCACGACGCGGGTCAATTGGCGGAGGGCGCGGTATAGTGGCAGAAGGTGGTTAGGAGCGTTTCTCGGGCGCAAGAGGTTACTAATAACACCGGAGTTGACTCAGCATTTACCTGTTCCCTCGCGTCGTAGACGGCGGGGGCGGGGGCGCGGCGGGGGTCGGTGGGAGGGCGGGGCTGCGCGGGCGCGTGCGCGTCGTAGCTGGTGCTGGCGCGCCCGACCAGCCGCGTAAAATAGGTACCTCCACTTTCTCGCAAGATTCCATTCGTATAGTGCGAGACACACAGAACCAAGAGTGGCAGGAGGCTTGCTGTAGACACACATACCTGATGATACCTGCTCACGTGCATCTATTCAATTCGTATGCTGCGAGGCAGGTGGCAGGAGGGATACTGTTGACCTTCGAGACACGTACCTGTTCCCTCGCATCTTAGACGGCAGGGGCAAGCGCACGGCGCGGATCTATTGGCGGAGGGCGCGGGATGGTGGCAGAAGGTGTTTAGGAGCGTTGCTCGGGCGCAAGAAGCTATTGATGAAGCTAGTGTTGACTCAGCATTTACCTGCTCCCTCGCGTCGTAGACAGCGGGGGCAGGCGCGCGGCGCGGGTCGGGGGGAGGGCGGGGCTGCGCGGGCGCGTGCGCGTCGTAGCTGGTGCTGGCGCGCCCCGACCAGCCGCCGTGCCCGCGCACGTATACTGGCGTGCCCAATCTGCCGGAACACGTGACTTAATTAAAGATTTGATAACATTACCAAATCTTAATTCAATCCTTAAAAACTTAATTAGTGTGAAATCAAATGTGAAGTTCCATATTTAGGTAGTCGTTAAAAATATAATGACTTCAAAAGGGTCCGTTAAAAGGGTCCTTTGAAGAATGAAATAATTGGGTATTCATACGGAATTATTCCCACCTCTCGTTCGCACCGCTGCAACTGCAACTCCTGTGTAGCCAGGATCTACAGCTTTACCGCCAATAAAATCCCAACTAGTGAAAGACAAGTTTGTCCCGCGTACGACGCCGCAGCGCCGCCTCAAAGCCCGGCGCTGTGTCATCTAGCGTCTAGCTCTAATGGGTCTACATGACAAGTAATGTACGGGCGGGAGGCAGTGGTTGAAAGGCACCACTCCCGTGCCCGGGATATGCGGTCAGGAAGGGAACTAACTCCCTAGTGAGCCTAGAGTCCCTATTCCCTAAGACACTAAGTCCCTAGAGCCCTAGCCCTGCCTAACAATAAATACTTAGACATAATAAGGTTTGATATGAAGGAAGCTGCTCCCAGGTCGCCCAGGGCAGCAGCGTTAGGACGGCAGGTAGGCGGCGGGGACCCGCTGCCAGCCCGGCAGACTCACCGGACTGATCATAGCGACGGCTAAGGGTGTCTTGGCCGCAGCGGGGGGAAATGAGACACAACGACGGACGGTTGATATCTGATTTATTGGTATTATGATAAGCTATTTATATATGGTTTATTGTATGTACACATTTACGTCTATAAGTTAGTGTGCCGTCGGTGTAGAGTGCCGACGATGCACGCTGAGGGTTCATGGGTCGCCCGGCGGTCGATGCTGACGGTGCAGCAGGATGTACGATCGTGCTCGTACAAGTAAGATAAATAACTGACCCTTTCAGCATGCGAAAGAATCTGGGACCGGCATGGTGTAGCTGGGGGCTATTTCATCTAAAGTCTAACTCTAGTGGCTTCACACCACTAGTAAGAAAAGCAACTTACCCGTGCAACATGCGTATGAACCCAGGCGGCACGGTATCGCAGCTGTGCACATTAGCCAGTATAGCCGCGGCAGTAGTCTGTCCGGCGCGCGCGCAAAACACGTGAACGGTTAGTGGCGCGCGCGACCCACAGGCATCAAGACGCCGCAACGCTGCCTCGAAGCCCGGCGCTGTGTCATCTAGGGCTACTAGACGTGGGGGCCCTCCCTAGTGCGAGAATAAAATAGAACTATCTTTATTTGACACGAAAAAAAACATTAAAAACAAAAGAGACGCGGGATAATTTAGGCTCGATTCCACCAAACTTTTATCCGAGAATAACTCCTGGTATAACTGGCACATTGACAGTTTCAGTATGGGAAATATGTCAAAATGACAAGTTTATTCTGAAATTAATATTTACTCTTGTTTGGTCGAATCCACCATCAAACGTAATCTTAAACCGTCATTCGTAAGGGGACAATCGTACTGACTTATCTATCTATATAAATAAAAATGAATTGATGTTCGTTAGTCTGATTAAAACTCGAGAACGGCTGGGCCGATTGAGCTGATTTTGGTTTTAAAATGTTTGTCGTAGTCCAGGGTAGGTCTAAACGGTGAGCAAATACGCGCGCGATATTGTTTTTCTGTGACAGACAAAATTCCACGCGGGCGAAGCCGCGGGCGGAAAGCTAGTTACAAATACATAATGACGCAGTTTTTGCCTTGATATCACGACGTTTATTCATCCTGAAATTACCGCGACCTATAAGCTAGCTATACTTACTCGTACGCACTGGAACATTTTAGCCACATTGCAGCATTTTTTTTTTCATCTTTTTTATTCCACACATTTTTCCTTAGTCGTTCCATTTCTAACTACAAAAACAACTGCTTACAAATCTATTAACCCTGTTTATTTTAAATGTCCCTATAAGAGTAGAAAGTAAATAGTTCTTACCTTTTTATCCCCTCCGATGTTCAAATATCCGAAATGTGACAAGAACAGCCTCGCAGTCTGGAACTCTGTCACAGGCTCGGGCGGCACGTATTCTTCAGGTACCTTAGAATAAAAAACATTGTTTCGTAGTTTATGTTTTAAAAATTCACAATTTATAAAGTTACGTTCTAAGGCTGACATCACACGGACTGCATCGCAGTTACCGCGCGCGGTTGATATATTTAACTGCATGCAGTTGTACGTTCGATTTCGTGCAGTCATGATATCAACTGCACGCGGTCGGCTGCAGTCGAGTGAAGTCAATATCAACTGTATGCAGTAGTGCCTTCAATTTCGCGCGGTCGGTTACAGTTGTATAGTGTCACCGCATGCTGTCCACGGCCGTTCGCATGCAGTTAGTCTTGGAGCCGAACGCGCGTTGGTTGCGTCAAATGGTTTGAAAAATGGAGACGAAATTCATCAGAAGAACATAGGAGTTCGAAGTTAAGGTTCGACTTCCCACCAGTGCAAAACGGTGACAAAACAAAGATTAAGTAAAGTGCGTTCTAAATACTAATCTATTACAACTTTTCTACGAATATACTCACTACATTATCTTCGCTCTCCGTGACGCGTTTCTCTATAGCGGCCTGTTGGTCCAGCAGTTTGAACAGCGTCGGTGCTTCGGGATCGTTCAGCTGTCGCAGCACAGACTCTAGGCTTGGGAACGCACTGTCGCTGTGGAAAGAAACATGGTTTACATTATCATTTTTATCCTGAAGCTGTCAGAATCATTTCGTTCGTTTTAACTGAAAGACTGGACAAAGGCTTCCCCCAAGGATTTCCATATAACACCGGTCCTGCGTCGCCCGCATCCGGCACCTTCCGCGACCTTCACCAGATCGTCGGTTCACCTAGTGGAAGGTCTGCCCACACTACGTCTTCCGGTTCGTGGTCACCACTCGAGAAATTTTCTGCCCCAGCGGCCATCAGCTCTACGAGCTTGATTTTAGCGATTCTTCGGGCTATATCGGTCATTTTGATTCTCCTGCGGATCTCAATTTTTTTTTTCAAATTCAAATTACATATTTTGCGAAAATGGGTTTACATCAGTAGGTGTTAAAATTCTCCTCATTTCGATCACGCAGGGAAACTCCGAGCATAGCCCGCTCCATCGCCCTTTGGGTGACCTTGAGCCTTCTTATGAGGTCCATAATAAGCGACCACGTCTCAGATTCATATACCATCACTGCCAACATTGATCAAAGACTTTTGTCTTGAGACACTGCGGTATTTCGGACGTGAGTATGTCGCGGACCTTTCCGAACGCTGCCTAGCCGAGTTGGATTCGACGATTGACCTCTTTCTCGAAGTTGGCCCTACCTAACTGGACCTACCTAATTGTCAACATCTTCGAGTGTAGTCTCAAACCTTCAAAGGAGCGGGTGCAACACGGACATTAGATATGAGGTCCATAATAAGCGATCACGTCTCAGGTCCGTATACCGCTCAGTAGTCTAAAGCCTGGTCCGTGAGCACGTAGAATTTTGTCCAATGACCCCAAGCTACCCATCCTTATCGCTCGCGCGTAATTATGTTGCTGTCGCGCTCGCACACTCACTGCGGGCGCCCGTCGCACAGTCGCGACAGCAATATAATTACGCGCGAGCGATAAGGATGGGTAGCTTGGGGTCATTGGACAAAATTCTACGTGCTCACGGACCAGGCTGTACTCACAGCGCGCACGGGGGCGGCGGCTGCAGCGGGCGGCAGGCGGGGGGCGCGGCAGCATGTCGCCGGGCCCCGGCCCGCAGTAGTGCCACAGAATAAGTAATAGTACAGGTACAGAAGGATTACTCCGCAAGACGATTTAAATAAATGCGAGTCTTGCTACGACGCGATACAGTGGAATTCAGCTCGCACAGCACTAAGTACCTACAATTTTATTCACCTACAAGTTTTGTCTTTTTCTATCGCGTGCCTCTGAACTCTTCTTACGCTGTTAGGGTTGCTGTCTAGTAGTGTCTAGTAAAAAAATAATTAATCTACTTATTTGTAATGAGGTACGTATGTAGGTAAGTACGCATTGATTATGGAAAACCTTGGGAGAGGCCTTTGTCCAGCAGTGGACGTCATTTTTGGCTGAAACGAACGAACGCATTCTGAGCAGTAGTCATGGTAGGTTAGGTTCCTATACTATCCTAAGAATTATTGATTACCTACATGGCCAAAATACCTTTCAGCATCTTTGGGAAGCGAAAAAAAAGATAAATCCGGTAGATTTCTTTTCGAATTTAAACACCCGAACGCGGCACAATAATATTTCTTTCTCTTTATGTCAATTTTTACATAATACTTCGATCATAGAATTAGGTACTACAACGCACGCCAGCGTCCTGACGGGCGCGCGCGTGCCACTCGACTGATATAATACCCGCCGGCGGGGCGCTTCGCTGTAGGTAATTATCGGATGTACCGCGCGGAGTGAGCCAGGCCTGGTACTCACAGCGCGCACGGGGGCGGCGGCTGCAGCGGGCGGCAGGCAGGCGGCGGGGGCCGGGGCGCGGGCAGCATTTCGACGGGGCGCGCGCAGGCCGCGCCGGCGCCCCGGCCCGCACAGCGCGCGGCGCCCCGGCTGCTGAGCGACCACGCGAAGCGGCCCCAGCCGCACCGGATTATCACTGCAAGAAATAGTTCTTTGAGTAACGGTACTCGCACACCTAAGGCCTTTCCCACACTTGACAGAAATGCCGTCGCGGATCTTCCGCACCGCAAATCATTGTCATTGCATACAAATGAAAGCGACCGATCATCCGCATAGTATGCCAGTTTTCGTCATTTATAAGCAACTAGCGACCGCCCGCGACTTCATACGCGTGGATCCCGTTTTACCCCCTTAGAACTAGAACTCCACCCGAGTTTCGTAAAATTCTTTCTTAGCGGGTGCCTAAGTTATAACATCTACCTGCATGCCAAATTTCAGCCCGATCCGTCCAGTGGTTTGGACTGTGCGTTGTTAAATCACTATGTCAGTCAGTCAGTCACCTTTGAGTTACTCGTATATTTAGATAGCTTGTATTGGCGGAAAATCCGTGACAGCATCTCCGTCAAGTGTAACAAAGGCCTAAGAGGCTGCTTCACTAACGTAGACACTTTCTGTTGCCGACGCGTGGTAGGGATCAAAACGGCACACCGAATTGCTGTGTATCTAATGTGTCGTCTACTAACGACTTTAAGTTGCCGATTGCTGACACTGAACACTTTTTAATCGAAAACGAATATAATGTGAAGTGGATGGAAGCAACTGAACACAAAAAGTATCTTCGTCTGCACAGCGAAAGACTGCTTTCATATCGATTTTATGAAAACAAGTTATCGTAGCTGGTATGCAACACTAGGCACAAAAGTGTCCACATTAATTAAGAAGCCTCTAGCTAGACATTAGCTAAGTAACCAACACTCACCAACTAACGTAGGCTGCGGTTCCTGGCTGTTGGCCAGCGGTTCCTCCAGCAGCGACAGTAGTAAACCACCGTCCGCCACGAAGTGTCGAAGTCTTCCATGACCAAGCGCTCGTAACCATCTCTCGTCGAGTCTGCACCAGCGACCACCACCTGGTTCGTTCTCACCCTCCTAAAGATAACAAATTGTTCGATCTCATCATCATCATTTCAGCCATAAGACGTCCACTGCTGAACATAGGCCTCCCCCAATGATTTCCACAAAAGCCGGTTGGCAGCGGCCTGCCTTATTCACGTAACAAAACTTCAACTACAACAAATCGCCGAGTTGCGATCCTAACAAGTAATCGTTCTAATCAAATCAAATCAAATCATTGATTGCATTGCATTACATGTGGTGTCTATCGAAATGACCCTTGTGAATACGGATTTTTTTTGACGACTTCTGAACGTCAGCGAGATCTTGACTGTCAAAATACGTGAATTAGTCCACTGCATCCAGCGCCTTTCTGCTACCTTTATGAGGTCGTAGGTTTACCTTGTGGGTGGACGTCCTACGTTGCGCTTTCCGGTATGTGGCCTCTGCTCCACATTGTACCTATATGGATATAATTTGGTATTTGTAGTTACCTGATCCAATATGAGCATTAGCAAAGATTCGGCAGCATCTCGAACTCTCATGGAGACTGGTTTCAACTCCTTTTCGTCCTTCATCTTTGGTGGGTCGCCAGGTTTACCTGTGAACAGTACAACATTTGCCCTTATGATAGAGAACTGGTAACTAGGTGTAGTCGTTCAATCTGTAAAGAATTTTGTAAATGTGACGTTTTGACGTGAAGAGTACATGTACTCACCACCTAACTAACTAAGAAGGCGCAGCAACTCAAAGTGAGTCTTGGCCTCAGACAATAAGAATCTCCACTCCAGTGTGTTAAGCGCCACTTCTGGTCGTGGAACGAGGAGCTCACCTTACTTACCAACACGTCGTCGTCGTCTATAGTCTGGTCCGTGAGCACGTAGAATTTTGTCCAATGACCCCAAGCTACCCATCCTTATTGCTCGCGCGTAATTTATGTTGCTATCGCGCTCGCACACTCACTGCGGATGCCAGTTGCACAGTCGCGACAGCAATATAATTACGCGCGAGGGATAAGGATGGGTAGCTAGGGGTCATTGGACAAAATTATACAAAGTCAAAGTCAAAAGTCAAAATTTATTTATTTGTTTAGACTAATAAATAGTTCTTACAATTCGTCATTTTGCTCTTAAGGAGCCTCTACATGCCTCATAATCTTTTTACCCTACGTGCTCACGGACCGGGCTTTAGTAAACAACACGTCGTCGGCTGCAGCTGCTGCATGGAGTCGGCTACGAACTTGTACCTTAACATGATTCGGTCACGTGACTGGCTCGTGTCCTGAGTGCCACTACTCCCACTATATCCTCACCCTGGCTCGCTCAGCCAGACAGGGGGCACTCACCCTGGCTGCGCGCGCCGGACAGCCCCAGCTCGACGACCTGCAGCAGCGTGGCGCGCGTGTCGGACGCGTCCGGCACTCACCCTGGCTGCGCGCGCCGGACAGCCCCAGCTCGACGACCTGCAGCAGCGTGGCGCGCGTGTCGGACGCGTCCGGCACTCACCCTGGCTGCGCGCGCCGGACAGCCCCAGCTCGACGACCTGCAGCAGCGTGGCGCGCGTGTCGGCCGCGTCCAGCAGCGCCGGACACAGCCAGGCGGCGAGGCAGGCGTAGGCGCACACGACGCACGAGTGCAGGTCGCGCGAGTGCGCCTGCGGCGGCCGCGAGCACTGCACCACGATGTAGTCGCATATCCAGCGCACGGCGCGCTTGCGCTCCACCGCCTCTGTGCACGGTAGTCATATATACAGGGTGGAATTTTGTAATACCGCCTGGAGGGAAAGTATATTTAAATTTTTTGAAATCTTTGAATGCAGTTCTATTTCTTTTCCTAAATTAAGGAATGTTTCCTTTGAGTAAAATTTTCTATCTACAGTATTAAGAGTATTTTCCCTCCAGGTGGCATTACAAAATTCCACCCTGTATACTGTGGTAGAGGCGCGTTATGCACACGTCAAGCCCGTAGCCGAACGTGCAACTTTAAGGCTGGGTTGCACCATCATACTTTAACATTAAGAAACATCAAAAATCTGTCAAACTCCATACAAAACACACCGGTTATCGTTATAGTTACTGTTAAAGTTAGGTGGTGCAACCCAGAGTAAGCGTTTTTTCACGAAATATTACGGCGAAATAAGATCTCGATTTACACGCAGTAAGCACACAGCTTTCAGCCAACGAGCGAATGGAAAGGTGTAGTTCATAAATTAACTGCAAAAAGAAATCGCCAGACTCTTCGGAATCGGATCTCGGAAAAGACTCTCAGGTTACATTTAAGGATACATTGTAAATAGGACATACTCAGAACATTGAGTGGACGTCGATTTGATCTTCCCTGTCCAAAATGTTTGAGAAATACTTATCATAAAACTTAATATGAACCAAAATGACAACTATGACGCCGTTTAGCAATCTTATTACTCACCGATCATATATTCTAGAATGCATGAAAACAAATAGAATGTACATATTTTTAATATATTCTGAATATTACTTTCAAATCATTTGTCGGCCGTTTGGTGTAGTGGTTCAGAACGGACTACTATGCCGAGAGGTCCCGGGTTCGATTCCCGGCCGGGCAGAAATTGAAATGATGAATTTTAATTTCTGTGACGGGTCTGGGTGTTACTATGTATAATATGTATGTATTTAAAAAAAAAAAGTATATAAGTAGTATATCCGTTAAGCTAGCACCCATAACACAAGCATATTAATTGCTTACTTTGGAGCTAGATGGCGCTGTGTGAGATTGTCCAAAGATATTTATTTGCATAGTATTGTAATACAAACTTACCCGGTTTAGCGGAGTGTAGCTTGGCTAGACCTGACAGCAGTTCCAAGGCAGCCAACGAGACCTGCAAGTCTCCCTTCCACGAAGAAATGAGCCGGTGGCACACGAGGTACGTCGCGCGAACCACTAACGCTGCACCTATATTGATTGGTGTCTCAGCTATTTGCTTCAAAAAATTGGTCACGTGAATGCTTCTCGTTCGAGTGACTATGGAATATTATAACTATAGATCGTTTCATCCACAAAGACGCACCCCACTATTCTTCCAATAATAAATTTCGGTACACGCTAAATTATCCATAAGTGTACACGCACACTACAATAATGACGCTCAGATTGCTCGGATCAAACTCCCCGCACCCCGCGCTTTCCTCGACCAAAAATTGATGGGGCGCGTCTTCGTGGATGAAACGATCTATATCACATTAAAAATTCGTAATCCATTCTAGCTATCTCAATAGCCCGATCACCATTCTAACAACAACTAACATGTGACTCATTTTTAATCAAAGCCCAAGACAATAATATGTGCAACAAGAAAGTTTTAAAGATATAAACAAAACTAGTTTCTAACAATTAGATATGTATATCAAAAACTAGTATTCAAGAAACGTACTTATTACATTAAGAATTACATCGAAAACGTGTTATAATGTGCAGGAAACTAGACACTTTAAAAACTATAATATATCCAGAAAACATACATAATTATAATTAAAACCGTAGACCTCTTATAATTTAACATTTAGTTAATCTACTATAAAACTTACTGCATAGAGGTATAAAAACATTGTATATGATTGATTCTAGCTCATTTCTAAAACGACAATGAACAATGAATACTGAATAAAAACAGCAAGCAGTATAAGCAACTTAGAACACAAAGCGAATACACCGAGAGTACTTTAGTAGTGTATTCATGGGGTGACGTTTGTCGAAAACATGGTCCTTCGAGCCGGATGAAAATAATTTTATAGTAGAAAATTGATTATCTTATATACTCTTGTCTGTAAAGGGACGAGATATATGGCAGTATTTGTTGATTGGCTAAAATATATGGACTTAAGTCAACGTCAAACGTCATTCCATTAGTAATAGCAAACAAAAAAGTGAATGTTACCGAAAACAGGCGAGGATGGGTCTAGCTCCCTAACGTCGGCCGCGAAGTCGTCAAGGGACGAGTGTCCTTCAGCGCTGCCCGACGCGCTGCCGCTATCCGACCGCGCTAAAACACCCCCCATAACCCTTTCATTTTGAATCTTAAGACAAGGTGACGGTTCCAAATGGGATGCAATATATGAGAGTCCAAGGTTAACCGATGTATCATCTTAATCTCTCTACAACAGGACTCGTCATGGGAATGTCAGTCCGAATTGATTCGTCTTATGGAAAAGTAACCAGCCTATAATTAGATTAAAAGGATTGATGTTGGATCTTGGAGCAAAATAAACGTAGCGTGTAACGGAAAAATGTATGTGTGATTAACGCATCGATATTGGTCGGTGGGTAAAGCGAACTAGTGATAAAATATGTGATATTTATTACATTTTCTGTGTTTTATGTGGTTTGAAATAAAGACGAAATTAAAAGTGATTGGAATAAAATATTTCCGTTTTTTTAACACTAGTCAAGTGAGAAAATATGATTCATTTCAAAACATTGTGTATTTAAAGTGATTGCAGTAACTTGAACAAACGTCAAACACCTTTGATGACGGTAATGTATAGACTGAAATCATAATACTATTACTTTTTAAACACCCTCTATTATTATTATTCGCACCACTCACCTTTATAATCAGTAGTCTGCGACATCGTCGATCCAGGCGGCGCAGACGCGGCTCTCCCGCCAGACTGTGCGTTGTGTCGAACGCACAGGTATAGCGCACTTAGTAACGGCACGGCGAGTGCGTCGGACCACTCCACTTGGACAGCTGAGACGCAGATCAGAGACAGTTTGCCTCGCACGAGGTCGCCTAGCGTCATGCCAGCACTGGAAAGTCGATGAAGCTTAGAAAGGACGAAGTGGATACGAAACGCTATTGTAGCTAAAACGAAGCCACACAGTTTTAGAAAATGTGAAACATTATATATGTTTCTCCTATATATTTTTTTCGAACTTGCTTTTTTATGCAGAACAAGGCAGGTATATGACCGCAATCGGACCTCATGCTAAGTGAGATGCAGTCTAAGATGGTACATAGCTGCCCTATCGGTACTATTCCCACCTCTCGTTCCCACCACTGCAACTCCTGTGTAGCCAGGATCTACAGCTTGACCGCCACAAAAACCCAACCAATGAAGGTCAAGTTTGTCCCGGGGGAAAGTTAAACTGTCATTGGACCCGCAACGAAATTAATCAGAACATAGGAGGAGTTTGAAATTAATTAGCTGCCCTATAAGTGCCTATTCACTCTCACCATAAATTATTGTATTCGGAAAACAGTAACAGGCAGCGAATTCCAATCCCTTTTCTATTTTATTCAGTCTAGCTATTCGCATTATAAAGGAGTTATCGAAACGCTTAGTGGGAGCTAGTGAGATATCGACAATGTTGTTTATTTTAGTGTTATTTTTAGAAGAATTAGCAGTTTTTGGGAAAACCAATAAACATCACATTAATTTACTTACTACTCATTACACCCAGGGAACTCAGGCACCGGCAGTCCCTTATAATGGTGCGGGAAAGCGACCAGAGACAACAGCGCGCTTATAGCGGCCTTGCGCAGCTCGCGCTTGTCTATGGTCCCGCACTCCAGCTTGGGCTCCCGCTCGCAGAGGATCTTCTCAAGTGCCGAGATGAAGTCTGGCACAAGAACTAATACGCCGTCTAGGTCCAATCTGAGAAGAGAAAAAAAAGATAAAACTTATTTTTGCAAGTAGGCTTTAAAGCACTTTTACATATCCCAGTATTAACCCTACCACTGCTTCGGGACAATAAATGGGCCAGTGCTGAGAAGAAGCAGCGATAAGCCTTATTACATTAGGATTAGGAAAAATAAATGACAGTCAGTGACTCTTGTCTACGATACTGGGCGCAACACTTATTTACATGAATCTCTCTCTGATACGCTTTGAAATACTGCATTTGAACTGGGCCAACTATAAAACTGAAACTTGTAAAGACGGTTTTTGGACCATGGGCATGACTGCATCGAAACTGCGAACAATTCGAGTGTATTACCCAATAGCAGTCAGCTTGTAGTAAGCCTCTAAGCTGCTATGGCGGGGTCACACAGACCTCTGAGTATGCATTTAGCAGCGTGTCAAGTACAGCACCAACATTTCGTGGCATTTGGTAGGTAACAATAAACCAGCTGTAATTATTAAATCCTTGGACATTTTTATACTACGCCATCTAGTCCCAAACTAAAGGCAACATTTGGTACTATATTACCTGAATATGTCGGGCGCGTTCAAGACCACGGCAGCAGCGGTAGCGGGGTCTCGCAGACCCCGGTGTATGGCGGCGTAGCATCGGGCCAAATATGGGGCTAATACTTCTTCGCGACACTGCTTCGAGCATAGCACGCGGCAAAGCGTACCCAGGGCTTCGGCGCGACCTACGTACACAGATATTTATGGTATGGTGGCCAAAAGACTGTGGAAATCTTGCAAAACAATAGGTAAGGTCAATCAACATTGATATCAAACTTTCTTTAGGCAGACTAATGATAGTAAACCTATCTTTGATTTTAAAAAGAAATAACAATGATATAACATGTGAATATGCTAATTCTAAAGTTTAATAATACCTGGTTGATAACTCATCATATTGAGTTTGTACGTAGCGTCAGACATCGACGGCGGTGGCGGTGTGCCGTCGGCGCGTTCTGAAAACATATCGCCAACTTTATGCTGTTGTAATAAGTGCTATTTTGCAACAAAAATGTGTAGTCTAATGTGCTGTCGTCTGTACGTTACATGTTTTTAATAAAACTACCTCCCAAGACTAAACTAACTAAAGCCTGGTCTGTGAGCACGTAGAATTTTGTCCAATGACCCCAAGCTACCCATCCTTATCGCTCGCGCCTAATTGTATTGCTGTCGCGAATGTGCGACGGGCGCCCGCAGTAAGTGTGCGAGCGCGACAGCAACATTATTACGCGCGAGCGATAAGGATGGGTAGCTTTGGGTCATTGGACAAAATTCTAGGTGCTCAAAGACCAGACTATAGATAAAATTCTCTGGTAAATTGAAGAGGCTCCTAAAGTAGAAAGTAAATGACTGAATGATGATGACTTACGTTGGTTGTTGGTGTAAGGAGGCGTGGTCCCGATGAGCGCCGCCTCAAACAGCCACTCCCCAAACAGGTGGAAGATAGAATTCACTTTCGGCCGCAACGGTGTCAATGGGGGTTTTTCTGCGTCGCACACTGGAAATAAACGTTTAATATGATGAATACAGAAGAAAAGTGAAATAAATATGCTAAACCTTTTTGTGACTAGAAATAGCACTATATTTCAAGGGTAGATTTTTTGCTTAATTTTCCTGGCCATAGAGCCTGTTTCAGTTTGCAATAATGTTCTTGATATTTATAAGAACATATCTGGTTACACCACCGACCACTTCTAAGCTTATACAGATATCAGATAGAGATATCTGACATATTGCCTCTATCTAAATTTTTCGACACAATAGCTAGTGCAGTTTCCCACGTTTTTTGTGTGTAGAGTGTGGCACTATGCTATAAGTCTAGCTTGACTCTTGCAAATATTTTGTAAGTCAAATAATTTTTATTTCCTTACCTTGCGACGTAATGGAGTTGGGCGGCGTGGTGGGCGCAACGCTTGCCGGCCGGCTGCTTGTCAGTCCAATCAGAGACGTACGCGGGGTGCCTGCGTTGTATAACACTCATGTACTCACGTACTTGAAGATCAAGACTCACGTTAGTCACAAACATAAGACGAATAAAGTAAGCACCAGAAAAATATTACAAAAGTTTTGAGCACTGACACCAAACAACACCCAAAACTAAAGGTAAGTACCAATTAAAACAAAACTAGAAACAGAAACCACTCATGCGCATCCCCCACCATTTGCTTCAATGTAAAGTCCGTATTCAAATGACATTTATACGGTTAAAATAATGCATCTAACTTGTGACAAATGCGACTTTAACTTTGTATCATAACTTAAATCAATCATCTACAGGCGACTAGATGCAAGACGTGCCGTACAAAACTAAAATAGACGAGTATTATTGATAGAACTCAGCCTACCTTATGTAGAAACACGAAAAACTAGTCATCGGGATAAGGTCTAAACATTGAAGCAAATCAGACATACATGACCGCTTTTGAACGATTAAAGTACAAACTCATATTTGGCACGAGCATAAAATATTTTAAGCGACAACATTTACACATGCAGAACCTAATTTCACCCAAGCTTTGTGTGTGCATTTATACATACATACCGATATTCAGCGTGAAGTGGTTATTTACACACAATTACCTCTTATCTAGTTTCTCTTTCCACTTGAATACTTCGAGTACCGTATTTTCATAATTGGCGATAGAATTACGTGTATAAAAGCGAATCAAATTGATATCATAATGTGTAAGTCAATGCTAAATATTAATGACGACAACCCCATTTTGAAAATTTTTCACTATAAGTATTTTATTTATGGTACTTGCAAATAGGGTATTTGACACCACCAATCAATTCACGTACTTTTTAAAACTGTCAAAACGACACCATAGATTTTGTACGGCAATACTAGCATGTGACGTCACAATTTTATCAACTCAATGAAAATACTTTTTTCAATTATAATGCAACCAAAAATCATAATATACAGGTAATTAAAAATTAATTAAGTTTTTAAGACCAGATAGAAGTGTCTTTTTAAAAAAGTTGTGCTTTAGAATTATTGGGAAATGGTGTCAAATACCCAATTGAGTTTAGCGGTTAGCCGCCACGTGGAACAAATCAAGTAAAGTAGAACAATGCAAGTAATAATCCAAAACGCACACAAGCATCTTATGTTATATTGTAAGATATGACCATAACAACGTCATTGTAGTTTGAAAGACTAAAATCTTCTGTAATAGACAATTTGACACCATTCCCCAATAATTCGAAATCACAACTTTTGTAAAAAGACACTTCATTCTGGTCTTAAAAACTTAATTAATTTTAAATTACCTGTAAATTACGATTTTCGGTCGCAATGTAGTTGAAAAAAGTAGTTTATTTGAGTTGACAAAATAGTGACGTCACTTGCTTGTAGTGCCATACAAAATCTACGGGAGTTTAATTTTGACAGTTTTAAAAAGTACGTCAATTGATTGGTAGTGTCAACACGTCTATTGTAATAGGGACTATTTTGCAAATGATCTGTGGATCACAAAGAGTCTGCTTTCGAATGCGCCGAAGTATCCAAGCGCAAAGCGTCCACGTACCGCGCTCGGGCTTAGGCTCCCTCGGCCGGGAGGACACGCTGAAGGACTTGGCGAGGCGGCGGTGCGCGGGGGGCGTGTCCTCGTCGTCGGCCGCCGCGCCCGCTTCTGGCACCGCCCACCACCGGCAGTCGCCCCGCCCTAGCAGTGCGCGCGTTAGGATAGCTCTTGTGGTGCCAATGTTTCATTATAATCAGGTTGTAGTGGGCGTATTACGCACCTCACCTTTGTACTTAGTGCAAGGAAGTATAAACTATAGTCTGGTCTGCGAGCACGTAGAATTTTGTCCAATGACCCCAAGCTACCCATCGTTATCGCTCGCGCGTCATTATATTGCTGTCGCGACTGGGCGACGGGCGCCCGCAGTGAGTGTGCGAGCGCGACAGCAACATAATTACGCGCGAGCGTAAGGATGGGTAGCTTAGGGTCATTGGACAAAATTCTACGTGCTCACAGACCGGGCGCTGTAAGCCATATTTAGACCAGTAATGAACCAACAGTCGACTAATTAACGTCTTTTATTCCGTCTCTTTGGTCCCAATGGTCTTTTCTCTCCTTTACATGAGGACGACCCTTTATAAGTTACCAGAGACAAGATGTTTCAGATCTCGCCGTTCTCGCGAGATTAACCGGAATTTAAGTTTAGATATACGATTCAAGAAGTTGATGAATCTTTCCATTGCCCCAATATTTATAACACGAAACAGATAGATTATTTTATTTAGTGCAAAAATGTTTATAACTCTCGGAGTTTGCGTTTAGACATGATCAGGTAGGGCTAGAGCTCAAATTAAATCAACAATAATCACGAGTAAATCTACAATAAAGGTAGCACATTGGCAGCACAAGATATATCCAACAATATACATTGTTTCCAAGTGTTGAAAAGCTAATATCACAATGCAGAAAAGATTTGAAGCTGTTCATAATTCTTATTTCCCAAAAGTTGTTCAATCATTTTCGTAAAATAATTTTCTAAACTACTTGTGTTCAGTTTCAGGTACTTAAAATCTTACAGTGCACTGAAAGTTCAAAAGTATATTCACAATATAACCTGTGCTAACTTAAAAACTAAGTGCAATTTAAACAGAATCACCTTGTACCCATAGAAAATGAAGTAACTAAAAATACTGGTATTCAAACCTCAATTACTGATCCCACTACTCCTCCAAAATATGACACAGCAAACAATTTTATTACATCTCTGTAAGTGCTTATGAAACACTCACGATCAATAAAACTATAAAAAAATCCCAAAATATCTAATGATTATTTCCAAGTTTGTGACTTCAAGTAGGCCTGATTGACATAGAAAAGAATACAAGAAGCATTTCAAATTACCTAATTAGTCAGTGAATATATTGATCAAGTGAGTCGGCACTAGTACTGATACTAAGGCCGAGTTGCACCATTTTACTTTAACTTTGACAAACGTCAAAAATCTGTCAAATACTATACGAAAAGCACCGGTTATTGCTTTTGTCACGGTTAAAATAAGGTGGTGCAACTCAGCCTAAATCATTTAGATCTCCTTAACAAAGGCATACTTCAAACATTAGTCATCAAATATCAAGTGACCCGGAGCTAGTATTGATAGTAGGTTTTAAAATAACTAGGTAGGTACTCTCCAACTTTAGTCAGTGAACATCTAGTATCAAGTGACCCGGAGCTAGTATGATACTAGTTAACTAATTTAAACCTTCTCGAAGTCACAACCGCACACTTCAAACATTAGTCAGCAAATGTCAAGTGACCCGGAGCTAGTATTGATACTAGGTCGCTAATATCAAGTGACCCGGAGCTAGTACAGCTACTAGGTCTGTAGCACTCACCGAGGAAGGCGTCGACGTGCGCGGCCACGCCCTTCATGGCCTTGTGGAAGATGGACGGCAGCGCCGCCAGGCACGGGTGCTGGCTCGGGTCGCGTGCGCCTTCTTCCGCTGTGATTGAATACTGCCAAGGGAAGTTAGTTCAACATCATCATCATCATTAAATAAAATAATAAATAAATAAATATCTTTGGACAATCTCACACAGCGCCATCTAACCCCAAAGTAAGCAATTAATCATCATCATCATCATTTCAGCCACAGGACGTCCACTGCTGAACATAGGCCTCCCCCAATGACTTCCACATCGCACGGTTGGTAGCGGCCTGCATCCAGCGCCTTCCTGCTACCTTTATCAGGTCGTCGGTCCACCTTGTGGGTGGACGTCCCACGCTGCGTTTTCCGGAAAACGCAGCAATTAATATGTTTGTGTTATGGGTGCTAGCTTAACGGATATACTTTACTACTTATATACTTTTTTTTTTAAATACCTACCTACATATTATACATAGTAACACCCAGACCCGTCACAGAAATTAAAATTCATCATTACAATTTCTGCCCGGCCGGGAATCGAACCCGGGTCCTCTCGGCATAGTAGTCCGTTCTGAACCACTACACCAAACGGCCGACAAAAGAGCAAGCAGACAAACATTTCAGCCATAGGACGTCCGTTGCTGAACATAGGCCTCCCCCAATGCTTTCCACGTTGATCGATTGGTAGCGTTAGTTAGGGAAGTTAGTTACATGATGGCTATGCTATAGGTATAGCGCGATGGGTCAGTGCCTGAGGTATGGAAGCGGCACGGGAGGCCCGAGGGATCACATTGACATATTATGACGTGACAAATCATACAAATCTGAAGTTCCAATGACGTTTGACGTGTCAAAAACACCTTCCCGTACAGCTCTCATACCTAAGGCACTGATTCAGCTTAGCTCTAGCTAGACCTATAATAATCATCCTTTAACAAAGGACTCTTGTCTTTTGCATCCACGTTACCAAAACAATGTTGGTATAGGAGAAAAGCCAGGGAGTGGTGGGGGGATCTACGCGGGATACATAGAAAGTTAACTAGTTAATTATTTCATTATGAGTCTTTGCTTGCTTCGAACGCCGAAATTTTTTCATTTTTATTCAGCTCCAAGAATGGAGATGGCGGGACGTGGATGTGGGGTCTGACTGCTGCGTGATCGGTGGATTTTGACATATCTGTCAATGTCATGTCAAAAATAACCAATCATGCAACATTTGGACCTCGCGTCTACGTATTGCCATCTGGCGGATTTTTCATACGCGAAAACCCTCATTGCTTCATGTGTTTCATAATAATCCAATTTGAATTTAGTTTGGGGAAAATTTATTTATTTTTTTATTTATTTAGGAAAACCAGGGGTTTACAGTGTGTAATAATGACATAAGATAGGCAACGAGTAAACCACTTATAGGTTCCCACAGGTAAAAACAATTTAAAAAATTTAGTGAGCCTTTGCACCAGGGTTACTACATACTACGTACTACACTACTATAATATACTATGTATACCTAAATAAAAAGTATTGGAAAACATTGCCAAACAGAAAAACAATTTAGTTGTCCTTAAAAAAACGGTCGCCTAGCTTTCTCCTCGCCACAGCAATGCTAGTACAAAATATGTCGATGTTAGTCTCCTTGACAAATTCGTTCAAGTTCCTACTCGCCCGCCAGAGAAAACTATTTTCTTCTTTTCAGCCAAATGACGTCCACTGCTGGACAAAGGCCTCCCCCAAGGTTTTCCACAATGAACGGTCCTGCGCTGCCCGCATCCAGGCTCTTCCCGCGACCTTTACCAGATCGTCGGTCCACCTAGTAGGAGGCCTGCCCACGCTACGTCTTCCAGCCCGTGGTCGCCACTCGAGAACTTTCCTGCCATTAGTCGAGAACTATTTTCTTATTTCTATTAAATGATATCCTACCTGCAGGAAGTCGGGCGTCTGGCTGATGAGGTGCGGCCGGCACAGGTCCACAGGGTTGCCGATGGTGTGCAGCATGCGATACCAGCTCTGCATCACCGCTTCCGCGCTCATGTCTGCCGGTATCAGGGTCGCGTCCTCCTCGCCTGGAGGGAGGGAGAAAGTCAAATTAATCTGAGCTTATCTTTTTTATTATTACAAGCTTTTTATTACAAGCTTTATTATTACAAGCTTTATATTGACTTCACTTGTTAGTATGTGTGTGGGACAAATCTTGCAACTGAAATTAAGACCAGTTCTCCTCAACCGATTTAGCTGAAATTTGGTATACTTATGTAAGTACGATGACAATGCAATATTATGGTACCATAGAGCCGGTCTGATGATGGAGTCAGGAGGTGGCCATAGGAACTCCTAAACGAAACGGCAGAATCGCATCGAATTTGGGTTCGTTGGATTTGTCGTTTTGAGAACTTTAGCGCTAGATAATGACCAGGATAGAGATACAACTAAAAAGTGTAAAATAAAATTATAATAAAAAAAACTTTTTTAAAAACAAGCTTTATTTTGCAATGCAGTTGTACTAAAACGAAAAAAATAATTTTATACAAGGTTCAAATAATTTCGAAAGCTTGTATCGCGCATGGAATTTATTCCTTTTTTTTTCTGTTTGCGCTACAAGCTTTCGAAATTATTTGAACCTTGCATAAAATTATTTTTTTCGTTTTACTACTCTGGGTGGTCTGGAAGAGATCGGTTCGTAAATAAAGCGTGTTCTACCTATCTACTATGTCAGTTACCAATCACGTTCATGTTTCGTTCCGTTCGCTAAAGACCCAAGATGAAACACTTCACTCAAATATCGAGTGGCGCTTGCGCAATATCAAGAGTGTAAAGTGCCGAGCGGGAAACTAAAGGTAGCTGCCGGTGTCTCACGTCTCCAAGTCACTGTTCCCGACGGCACTTCATAGCTGCGTAGGCACCTACTTTCTGCTAAGGTTAGCGATGTCACCAGGGGCGACTGGTGAATCAAAACGGCTTCACACTTTAAATGGAATCACACTGACCAAACGGCCAATGTTTCTTGTCTGATACTTACTACAGGATTTTAGTGGATGGGTCCCACTTTTCTGCCAGTTAGGCCCGATTTCCACCAAGGCGGAGCGGAGTGAAGAAGAGAGATGAGTCGGGCGGACGAATTTTTCTATAGAATTTGACAGCGGCGGAGGCGCGGCGCAGAGCGGAGAGAAGCGGAAAAATAAAATCGGGTCGGTTATTCAAAACACATCTCCGCTCCGCCTTGGTGGAAACCGGGCCTTAGAGCCTTGCCACACTGGCGACGAAGAAGTCGCGGCTGCGCGGCGGACACGAGGCGAAAACTCGACGCGGAAACGTTGAGCTTTCGCGACGTGTCTCGTGCGTCACGCTTCGCTTTGAAACCGCTTGCAATCTGCCCACTGCTCCGTCAGCGTACGCACTGCGCCGCAGCGAGCGCACAGGGCGGGGAGTACTCACTGACGGGCATGGCGGGGAACAGCGGGCCGTACATGTGGCGCAGCAGGCGCGCCGTGAGGCACAGCGACGCGCGCGCCCACTGCTCCGTCAGCGCCGCGCGGTGCCGCCAGCGCACGCACTGCGCTCGCAGAGTGCGCCACAGCGGCGGCGACGGAAAGCATCTGCGGATGACATCACACTGTCAAAGTCCGGTCGCCGAGCAGATAGAAGTGCGTACAATGACCCCAAGCTACCCATCCTTATCGCTCGCGTGTCGCGCTCGCAGACTTACTGTGTCGACGGGCGGCCGCAGTGAGTGTGCGAGCGCATCCGAAGTTTTGACCGCTTTCACTTTGACACATTCAGCCCTGTCTCGTGGGCACTCGGCGAGAGGGTACAGCCGGCATTAAGTTATGGTCACTGCCAAGCGGCGTGCGAAAGTCTAAGAAGCAAGTCGGGGCGTGACTAGACCACTTCGTTACATTAGAACGATTGGAGTATATCCCCTCGCCACGTGAAAATGTCTCCCCAAAGAAATGCTTGAGAAACTTCTAGCATGTCTCTGAAATCATGTGGAACAGATGTATCGGAGGGCTCAGCGTTTGACGTTTACTATGAGGATCCCGTAAGCTTAGGAGGCTTTTGCGGCTGAGTTTCTTCCGCCACTTCTTCTCAGCACCGGCCCATGTTGTCCCGGAGTGTTGGTAGGGCAAGCTATATTTGGGACGTGTATAAGCGCCCTGGAAAGGGCCTACTAAGTACTGTTAATTGTGAAAGATCTAAAACGTTAAAATAACGGTATCGTTATAGATAATGAGCTGCTATCATAGTGACATTGACGAAATGTCAATTTCACACTAGAAACGTCAGATTTGAGGGACGCGTGGACGACTCCGCGCGCTTTTGTGCTAAGTGATGAATTGTATTTTAAAATGAGGCAATATAATGTGAAAGTTAAATATCCAGTGTTTTATTTATGAGAATAAAACTACCGACCTCTAATAGTACTGAATAAAAAGCTTTGACTTTACCTGTGGCACGCCAGTATCCACACTTCGAAGAGTACGCACAGCACGCGCTCGCACAGCTGCTCAGCGGCCGAGTGGTGCGGCGCGGGCGGCGACAACAGCGCGGATGCGCACGCCAGCAGCAGAAGCAGCAGCGAGCGCCACTCGCGCGCGCCCAGCATGGCCGAGCCGGCGAGGGAGCGAGCGAGTCGGAGCACCCGATGGCAGAGGACAGCTTGCTTGCTGATCAGGTCGCCGCCTTGGGGGCAACGCACCAAATATGAGCCCTTGTTGAGACACGTGCGGTAACCGCGCGGTTTCTCGGTGGTTCTGATTGACGATGCACTGAGACGGTAAATTGTACGAGAACTGCCCAGTAACCGCGCGGTTATGGCGGTGTCTGAACAAGGCCTAAGTTTGCTTTCTAATGACGCAGAATTAGACGAAGCGGAGCGAGCTTCTCGTTTGACTTATATGTGTAACCACATCCTGAACTATTGGTCATAAAGTGCTGGATGGTTTGGAAGTGCTTGCTTAAAACATTACAAGCGAATATCCAGCGCCAATTTTTTTAAAGGTCTTCAGTGGAATTCGCACGCCCTGCAAGGCCGAGCCGGCGAGGGAGCGAGCTAGCCGTAGCACGCGGTGGCAGAGGACAGCTTGCTTGCTGATCAGGTCTCCGCCTGGGAGCAACGCAGTGACTTTAAGGCCGGGTAACAGAGAAAATGGCGAAAATGAGGTTTTCATTTTTCATTTTTGAGGTACTAAACAGTAAAATAAAAGGCTAAGATTTTTTTTGGGCATAGTTGAGGATATTTTCTAGGGCTATTAACGGATGGAAACACGATTTGATGAAGTTGACTCGATAGAATAAATTCCCAAAGTTACCTCTATTCGTTTTCTAATTATGGTTTTATTTTTAAAATAAGCGATTTGAGATTCTGAATCTTTTACTAAACTAAAGTTCAGAAATAACTTGAGGGCTTTTAACGGATGAAATTTTTATATTGCGTCTTATTTAGTTACTATGTTAAAAAATGTGGAAAAAATCGCCCATGACGGCTTGGACAATCTCAATCAGTCGCGCGGTGGCGCTTACGGAGGACGGACGCGTGCCAGTTTTTTGGGTTAAAGGGATCTCTAGAGTATCGTTGGTCGAATGGAAAATAGGCATTGAATTTGGAACATAGTCTGGGGCCAGCATACACAAAAGTTTTTCTTTTTCTTGATCAGTTACAAAAAATTTTGGGTTCTTAATATTTTTGATCCATCGCATTCGTTTCCATAAGTCTGAAGCTGAAATAGATTCGTCAATGCCGTCACAAAATTGCCTCCAACTACTCGATTTGGCTTTTCTGATTTCACGTTGAGTTTCAGTTATTTTAATTTTCAAGAGTGCCAGATTTTGGGGGGTGGGATTTCGCCGAAATTGTTTTAAAGCCAATCTACGTTCTGCAACGAATTTGGATAGTTGTTGACTCCAGTAAGGTTTAGGTTTAAATTTACTTTGAGGATTATTGCAGGTTTTAATCATAGGTATGTTTTGTTGAGCTGCTAAGTTTATTTGTTCTGTAAAAAAGTTATATTTCTCCTGTACATTGCAGAAAGTGCGATTATCCTGTGAAAATGAATTAGTTACTGAAAGTTTATACCCGTTCCAATCAGCAAGCTTAAAATTGCGTCTCTCTGCAAAATTCAAGCTATCCATATAATTTAAATTAAACTTAATGATAAGGTGATCACTTCCTAAGCACTCATTTGTAACATTCCATTTGAATTGTATTGCTATATCCGATGACACAAATGTAATATCGGGTGAACTTTGCTGTAAAACTCCATTAACTGATTTAATTCGTGTAGAACTACCATTATTTAAACATATGAAACCATTGTCAAATGAGGAGTCAGCTATATAACCACCCCTTGTATCATTTCTATTTGACCATAATGAATTATGACCGTTGAAGTCTCCTGCAATTATAGTTTTGCGTGGTTGATTAGAAAATAAGCTATCCCAATCTGAAAAGGTTGTAGAAATTGACGATGGACAATACACCGATATGACTTTATGTAAACTTGGACAATTTAAGATGATTATTTCAATCATTTCTATTCCAGGATTATTGTTATGTGTATTACATACCTGGGTTTTGATGGACCTGTGTGTTAGGATTGCAACTCCCCTGTAAGAATCCCATCTATCCCGTCTATAAATATTGTAATCTCTAAAACAAAATGATGTTTCTTCATCCAACCAAGTTTCACTCAATACTGCGATGTGTATTTTTTCCTGAGTTAGAAGTGATTCGAATTCAATTGACTTTGGACGAATACTTTGAGAGTTCCATTGAACTAAGTTGACTCCAAAAACGCGTTGAATTCTATTCTCCATTTACAAATAAAGAATGTAATTTATTTAGGACATCACCGCTACACACCAACCCCATTATATAGATTTTAATTTCTTCATAAATCATTTTAACCACTTGTTTAAATTTCTCTTCTAGCGCTGAATCCGATAAAATAATGTCTCTAGCTCTGTATAACATCCTTTTCAGTGAAAATGGTTTTTCTCTAGACTTTTCTTCGATATAAATTGAGTCACTCGAAGCTCGTCGCTTATCTGAAGTTTGTAGATCTTCCTCAAGTAAAATATCCTGTCTTTTACTATTCTTAGGTGTCTTTTTCTTTTCTTTATTTAGTTTTTCCATCTTCTTTTTGTAAATATTCCCATTGTTTGTGTGATCTTCTTGTGAACTCTCCTCTATTGATTGAGATTCTTCTCTGTGTTCTGTGGCTCTTGTTACTAAAATATCTCTATATGAAGTTTCAAAGTGATGCTGATGCTCAATAGGTTGATTTTGAATATATTGTGTAGGATTCCGGTCTTTATCTTCTTTTCTTGAATGATAAGTCCAAAGCGCCTTTTTATAAGTGCAGTTCTCTTTACACATTATAGACCTTATTTCCTTTTCTTTTAGGAATATAGGACATCTTTTGTCAAAGGATGTATGTTCGCCCTTACAGTTTACGCATCGGAAGTTGATAGCCTCACAATTGACATGGAAATCACCACATTTAGGACAAATAATCTTTTTAGTTGGGCAGGCTCGTATAAGATGACCGAATTTCCAGCAGCCCGAACACTGAGTAACTGGAAAAGTGTATGGTTCCACCTTAAAACGACACCCGTGTGCGTAAACAAACGGGGGTAAAGTGGAGCTTTTAAAGCATAATCTTACAGTCTCACTCTCTATCCATTTACCATCATTGGATAATCTTTTTAATCTTTTTGCCGCTATAATCTCGAAGTCACACTGAAATATTTGTTGTAATTCTGCTTCATTTACTTCAGTTTCTACTTGTTTGACGATCCCATATGATAAAGTTACTTCATCTGTGAATTGACATTTATAGCCCAAATTAGCAATTTCCTCACAATGTAGTAATTTTTCTGCATTTTCTTTTGTACCAAAGCGAATAAGAACTTTATATGGATTTTTATATTTAATTCTTACTATGTTTGAGATTTTTTTTGATTGCAAAAGCTTTGCCATGGCCATCTGTTTTGGTAGTAAATCCTTTGAACTCATACATATTTCAAATACATCATCATTTTCATTCAAATTTATTGTTTCTTGGGTCCCAGCATTTCCAACAGGCAAAATCAATGAATTACTTCGCGCTATGCGCTTAGCTTTCTTCCTTGTTACAGTTATGAAACCGTCTTCATTCTCATCACTATCATTTCTACCTCTTTTATCCGGACGGTTGTCCTGTGATAAAATATCCATGCCAACATTATCCCATTCAAATTCCTGGGGAACTGCTTGTATCTCACTTAATGAATCGCTTTTCTCTAAGTTATCTTCATTTATTTCACTTCCAACAGATTGCTCATTAATCAAGTTCACTTCATCCATTTCTAGTACATTTATTAAAAAAGGTGGGTAGTCGCACAAAAAACGCAGCGCAAGATTGCGGACCGATCACAGTACGTGCGCTCGCTACGCCGCACCGCGCGCAACTGGTGACACATATTNGATAAGGATTTGGTAAGCGAATTAGGTCTTGTTAGTTCTCAGTCTAGCCCAATAAAATTTATTGATGCCTTTGGTATTGAAATATTTCAATCTGATGTACCTAAAGTTATGACAAAGATTTCTGGTTCTTTTGAAAATAAATATAATGACGTCACTTTGCGACAGGTTGATAATTTAAATTTACCTAAACATAAGGCGGCCAACCGTCCCGCATTCTGCGGGACCGTCCCGTAATGACAGTTGCAATCCCGCATTGCAATATTTAATAAAATAGTCCCGCAAATCGTCCGAGGCGTCCCGTATGTCCCGCATTCCTCGTTTCCCATCGTTTTGCTCGCATAATTATGTCTCATTGATTTTATGTCATGATCATAGAGAAAAGTAATACATAGGGTCATGATACTAACATAGCATAAAATACGTAGCCTTATGCACAGATTAAATACTGCCTTAGTGCCAAAGTCGCCCACTAGATGGCGTTAAGTGTGTAAGAAAAAGTCTTTTTTTTTTCTATGGAGTCGCCGTTCTTCTCGTCAGAGTAAATATATTCTTTGATAGTGATCGAATCAAATTAGTGCACGCCGTGACACATATTTTTTTTTTTTTTTNGCATAAAATACGTAGCCTTATGCACAGATTAAATACTACCTTAGTGCCAAAGTCGCCTACTAGATGGCGTTAAGTGTGTAAGAAAAAGTCAATTTTTTTTCTATGGAGTCGCCGTTCTTCTCGTCAGAGTAAATATATTCTTTGATAGTGATCGAATCAAATTAGTGCACGCCGTGACACATAATTGGTAATTCGTATTTTTCGATATCGCTAGAAAAACTAATTGTTGTTTCAATGCCGCCGACCGCGAAAAAGCGAAGTTGTAAGTTCACGGAAGACTTGCAAAAAGAATTTCCTTTCCTGCAAAAGTGTTTAACACCTTCAGAAGTGCGTTGCAATAAATGTAATGGAACATTTTCTGTTGCTCACGGCGGCAGACACGATATACAACGACATTTGACATCGGACAAGCATAAAAAGGCATTAATTATCGCAAGTACGTCGTCGTCACTAACTTCTTACTACCGTCACGAAATATACGGTGATAAACAAGCAGAACTTGCATTAGCGGAGGGTATGTGGGCTTTCCATACGGTATGTCATAATCAAAGTTTTCGATCAATGGAATGCACTTCCAAATTAATTCAAAAACTTTTTGAGAAGAAGTTTAGCCGCGGGAAAACTAAGTGCGAAGCTATTGCAAAAAATGTGATTGCGCCGTATTCTTCAGATATTTTGAAGACAGAACTTAACGATGTTCCGTTTATCTGTATATGTTCAGATGCTTCGAACCATAAAGATATCAAAATATATCCAACGCTAATAAGGTACTTTCACCCGACAACCGGCATTAATGTCAAAATATTAGATCTAGTGAGTTTACCTGGCGAAACCGCAGAAATTATTTACAACTAGCTGACCCGGCGAACTTCGTACCGCCTTAGCGTAGAGATTTTCTTAATATTTTTTTCCGTAAGAACCATCCTTGGACTTCCACAAACATTCAAAAAAAAGAATTATCGAAATCGGTTCAGCCGTTCACACGTGATGCCGTGACAACGCGAAACGGGTTTCATTTTTATATATATATAGANATTTACAATTCCTTAATGGACATTTTGGAAAAGCACACCCTTAAAGAGAAAGTGGTCGGATATTGTGCGGATAACGCCAATACAAATTTTGGTGGGGTTCAGCGTGAAGGTCAATGTAATGTTTTTAAAAAACTACAAGAGGGCTTGGAAAGACAAATAGTCGGTGTGGGCTGCGCAGCACATATCGCGCATAACGCCATTCAAACTGCAGCAGATTTGTTACCGGTTGACATAGAACATATAGTTACCAAGATTTATTCGTACTTTTATATATATACTGTGCGTGTAGAAAATCTTAAAGATTTTTGTGAAGAAGCAGAAATGCAATACAAAAGAATGTTGGGATATAGTAAAACAAGATGGCTTGCACTGTTACCTGCAGTTGAGAGAATTCTACAAATGTATTCGCCATTGAAATCATACTTTTTATCGCAAGATAAATGCCCTGCTGTTCTAAACCACTTTTTTTTAAATGAATGCTCAGAACTATGGCTAAAATTTGTTCATGTGCAAGCATCTGTATTTAACGATTCCGTAAAAATGATGGAAGGAGACAAACTAAGTTTTACAGAAGTGTCACATCTGTTTGTGGATTTAAAAAACAAATACACAAACCGCTTAGAAAATTATTATATGTCTCTGACCATAAGAAATGAGTTAACAAAACTTGTGGAGAATGGTCAAATCAACAGAGATTATTTTATGGGGCATGTTCGCAATTTTTATCACAACTGCATTGAGTACTTACAAAAGTATATTTATCAATACAACGAATTTAAAACTTTTACTTGGATTCAATTAAAACAAAATCTGAAATGGGCTGATGTACAGCAGACATACCAACAGTTATTGGTGCAGATGCCTACAACTGCTGTGACTTTAAAAGAAGATAGTCTGTTCGACGAAGTAAGTTACGTGGCAAATTATGTGAATAATGATGTCCTAAAGAGATGGGAGGAGTTGAAGAGCAGTACAGAACAGCGATGGATAGAGGTGTTCAAACATTTCAAAGACAGCGGAATACCGTTCCAGAATTGCCTAGCCATCGTCCAGTACCTACTTTGTTTGCCAGGAACAAACGCTCCTACGGAACGAGTTTTTTCCTTAATGAACAGCTTATGGACATCCGAAAAGTCGTCACTAAAAGTAGAAACATTACGTGCAATGCTGATTATAAAATTCAATATGGGCAGCTGTGAAAACTTTTTGGACATTCTGAACCAAAACCCAGACCTATTAAAAAAATGCCACTCATGTGAAAAATATGATTTTAAAAATAAATGTTAATTCAGTAGTAGTGTTGTTTCTTTCTAATTTAAGTACACCATTATCAATTCCAACAAATCCTAAGTCTTATTGTGGATAGGGGTGGGTGTCCCGCATTGACTTATTATAAAGTTGGCCGCCTGTCTTTGGTGCTGATGATCAGCACCAAAGACATACATACCTTCACGCCACCAACATAATTGTAAGCAATCATCCGAAACTTACCTGTATTTACCTAAATTTCTCTCACTACATAACCAACAAAAAACTCCTTTCTCACTAACGACGGACGGAATTAAGTTTTTAAATTTCGAACCCAAAGATGGCGTCCGGAAATTTTTTGTTCCCGCCATAATTTTAACGGGAAGCGGCGAGATAGATTATAAAATTGGAGAAAAAGTAATTATAGTCTATGGTCGGAACATGCGATGTTGATTACCTGTCTTGGAAGGCTTGTCTCTGATAAAAAGTAACGGAACTGGTAGGAAGGCCCTTCCATCTTCATTTGGAATGGTTTTTAAGTTTCTATTTTGGGTGATTATTTAAATTTCTTTTATGATAACATTTCAGGTAATATTGTTGCGATTCGGCTTTGTTATAATTTTATATTTAAACCAATATTTTGAGTAAGTGCTTACGCGAAAGCTGGTGGTGAGGATCGAGAGACGTTTGGTAGACCTAATTTTTCGCGCAAAAACTATGGGAATATTATTGAAACTTTACAATGTTTTTTTATGAAAATCTAAGGGCAAATGCTAATGTTCAATTAATATCAATTGTCACGTAGTGTAAGTAGGTTAACGAATTATTTAAAAATGGCTGGACCGATTTGACTGATTCCTTTTAAGTTATGTTAAATATAATAATATGACACGGTCCAATCTTGTTCCGATTGCGTCTAACCGACTCAAGCGCGGATTCATATTTCTTTAAAAAAGAACCATTCAAGCGTGCTGCTAATTGAGATCAATTGTGTCCCTTTCAGGAAATGAACTGGAACTTCTGGGTCATTAATTTTTGAAACTTCCGAACTAAAAGCGAGCAAACTTACATTTAAAGGCCGTAGCACATTTATCAATCCGGAAAGGGATCGTAACCGTATCAACTCGAGGCGGTCAGTATTCTTTGTATGAAACTCCATACTGCAACGCACACTTATTCGCGCCGTACGTAAACGCCTCGCCTCGCGATTGACAGCTCGCCAAAGGCACAGTAGATATAATGATTTATCTACTGTGCCAAAGGCGATACGGTGTTGATCCCTTTCCGAGTTGATATGTCTACTATGACCCTTATGGAGCTATTTTATCAACAACTAGCTTTCCGCCCGCGGCTTCGCGCGCGTTGACTACCTACATTATCTACATATTTTACGGAACCCTATTTTGTTTCAAAATAAAATTTTGCCTATGTTACTCGAGGATAATGTAGCTGTCGAATGGTGAAAGAATTTTTAAAAACGGTCCAGTAGTTTTTGAGCCTATTCATTACAACCAAACAAACAAAGTTTTCCTCTTTATATATTAGTGTAGATAACGCGTAACTCATTCAGTAACTACAGGAGTTCTTTACCTAGAAACTACAGATACGGGTCATACATAGCCCGCATTCGCTCTATTTATTTATTTACTAGCTTTTGCCCGCGGCTTCACCCGCGTGAAATTTTGTTTGTCACACATCGTCATAAATTATAGCCTATATGTTATTCTGGGTTATAAACAATAATACTGCAAAGTTTCATCAAAATCCGTTCAGTAGTTTTTGCGTGAAAGAGTAACAAACATCCAGACATCCAGATATCCAGACATCAGGACATCCAAACTTTCCCATTTATAATATTATAAGTAGGAAGGATTGTTCTTCTACCCTCAACTGTTACTTTTACATACATCATTTTGATCCTGTCCCCATGGTATATTATTCCACATTGTTCACATGGGTGGTGAACAATATACTAATAACAAACAAGAA